CACCCCCCTGGCCTCAGCCCATGGCTCCAGCCTGGCCAGACCCCTCTGCAGAGCCCCCCACCCTCCAGCAGATCAACACCCCACCCAGCCTGGTGTCACCTGCAGACTGAGGGTGCCCTGACAAGATGTCAACGGTTAATTGACATCACCCCACCTCTTGGTGCCCCAAGCAAGATCTCTCCTGCCCATGGCAGACACCAGCCTGCTCCAGGCAGCACCTACATGGCAGCATGGTTACCTCCAGCCACCCAAGCAGGGTGACTCCTCCTCCATGTCCCCCCAGGTCCTCACCTGAGGACTTGCCCAGTGGGATGAGCATGCCCTGGGCGTTCCTGGAGGACGTCAGTTCTGGCCCCACCAGGTCGTTGGTCTCCTGCTCTTCCTCAGGCTCCTCCTTCTTGGACACCACTTGCTCGAGCAGGGGCAGCAGCACACCCATCCCACCCACACAGTTGATCACGTCCTGGAAGAGGGAGGGGAGAGGATTTGCTGGGTGCTGCGTGGCCATGGCAGTGTAGAAGAAGTTGCATGTGCACCTGGGGTCCACCCTATGGGCTCATGGGCTCAGACCAAGCCAAGGAGACCCTCACCTTGTGGCTAGAGAAGTTCAGACTGTGCCCAGAGCCACCCTACAGCACAAACCTAAACCAGGCCCTCCAAAAGCACCTTGCACCACTCCTGGTTCCCACCCTGGCTGCTGAGGAGCTATGGGGAAGACAAGTCCTTGGGGACCCACAGGCCACGCAGGTCCTTGGTGGACCTGATGCCACGGAGCAGAGTCCCTCTAGGGTCCAGGGGCACCCCCGTGGCCACCCAACACCCTGTGGGGATCCTGCCCTGGCCTCACACCCACGAAGGGACCTCCACACCACGGGGTGGTTGGGCCACCCTGTGCCCGGGGTACCTTGATGTCCCAGTGGACCACCTTGTGCCCCGTCAGCCTCCCGTCCAAACCGTGGCTGGGAGAGAGGTCCAGGCAGATGTTGTTCCTGCAGGCCTAGGAGAGAGCATTGTGGGAGCATCCTCGTGCTCCTGGAGGTGTCACTGGTGGCAGAGGGTCCACCAGTGCTGTCCCCCCATCCCCAAGGTGGGGGTTGTCCTCACCTGTGGGGTGTAGTACAGCAGGAGCTTGCTGCTGAGCTCCCCCAGGTCACCTTCCAACGTGAACGGAGACGTGACGTTTGGTCCTGGGAGATGAGGACTGGGGTGAGTGGGGCAGGGTGGAGGAGATGCCCCTTGCCACGGGCCCCCCCGTGGCCATCCCCCACGTCCCACCTGCACAGAAGAGCGCCTTGACCTGGGCTTGCTGCAGAGCCTCGCAGAAGATGGCCACGGAGCCCAGGTGACCCTCCAGGGAGGTGGGGCTGCCCCACTCTGTGTCCTGGCTGCCGGCCGCTGTGGTGGCCACCACCCCTTCCGTGGGGGGCTGCGTGGGGGTCCAAGAGTGGGGGCCCAGGGCGGCGGGGACGGACTGGGAGCGGCCGAGCGTGGGGTGAGGGGGGAAGACCAGCTCTGGCCCGTGGGATGCTGGTGGGTGGCTGGTGGTGGCAATGGTGGTGGTGGTCCGGTGGCCCGCGGAGCCGATGCAGCAGGAGGTGAAGGACTGGAAGGGAGGAGGAGAAGGGGAAGGACAAGGATAAGAAGGTGAAGGAGAAGGAGGAGGAGGAGGAGGAGAAGGGGCAGGAGGAGGAGAAGAAGGGGAAGGATCAG